GGGGGGAGGGGGTTTCAAGGGAGGGGAAAATTGATCTTGTCTATGATCATGAGAGGGAGAGAGGCTTGAGGCAAAAATGGGGTGAGGATCTCAATGGATTGGGAGGTTAGGTGGATTGTTTAAAAAGGCTAGGGAAGAGGAAGATTTACATATGGTGGGGATGAGTTCAGGACTAGAGGAATAGTGGGTTTCAATTGAAAGAGGAGGAGAGTGTGGGGAGCGGCGGGGAGGTTAAGGTCAAGAGTGTGAATAGGGTAGGACATGGACGGTTCATTGTTGAGGTTTCTATGAGGGGTGGGGATCGGTTGGTCTTATACTTGTATTTCTCCCTTCGATATGGAGCAACGAGGGGTGTTTAAAGTTCGGTGACTTAGTTCAAGATGAAGGATCGTGGGTAAATGTGTTGCAAGTGGTACATGACATAGTCTTCCATTCATAAAGTATAAGTTGCAAAGTATCATTACCATTAATATTAATTGGATTTGGAAGAAGAATGGATATTAATTTGTATACTAACAGTCTGTTTAGGGCAGTTGAAACTTATTGACAATCTGCTGATAATCAACTGATTTGAATAAACTGTTGATCAAGAGCTGATCCAGATTAGCTGGCTGACTGTTTGGTTTCAGCTGGTAAAAAACAACTGATGTGTAGCTGTTTCTGAAAAAATGATTATTTTGCCTTTGTACATCAACAATTAAATATTTATAGAACCGATTAGCCATCAATAATAATTTTATGAAACTGATTATATTAACTTATACTTAAATATTAATTAATTAATGATTGATTATAATTAATTATATCAATTAATAATCATTAGAATTTTATTAAATTAATTAATGTTTCTCTACAGGAACCCTTTGAAAAGCCTCACTAACCAAAAAAAAATGGCAAGAACAGCTATCAAAACAAGCGACAAAAAGCACAGTGATGCAGTATACAGTACATGTACTCGAGTCGAATTCATCAAACATTAGAGCTAAGAAGCATTAAATTACTAAACTCGCATAAGACGAAGTATCCACAGATTACAGAACAAGTGATAGCTAACCTCACAGAAGTAAGGCTTTGTTTCTCCTTCAACCTTCTGACTGATCGATCAACTTTCCCCCTCAACCACAGTACAATACAGTGCAGATTGCAGCAAATAACACCAGATTGATCGCTTCACGAGCTGATTCGATTGTCTAAGAAGCCAAACAAGCCCGAAGGAAATCTCGCGATTAGGGTTCAGGGTAGAGAAGAGAACAAAGGCGGGAAGAGAAGAAGCACGGTTTGTTGTAGAAGCAATGACAGTGAGGTGGCACCGGCTGGAGCGGAGGAGCATGGGGTCGCCAGTGAAGTGTTCGACTTCAGCAGCTTTGATGGCGAGAGGGAGAGACGAACGAGAAGAGGAACGGAGTGGTTCTGTGACCAAGCGAGGGCAGGGTTGTAAAATAAGGGAGCGAACGCGCACGCGGGTCTAACCCACAAAACGCAGTTTTCTGAGCTTCCCCTACCGAGTGCTAATTCTTGCAAATGTGAGAAACGCCTCTTTAGCAGTAAGAGGATCACCAGCCAATGGTATCCCTATCATAATTTCAATCTTCTTTTTTGTTAGAGGAGAGAAAGTCAAACAAATTATAGGCCAATCTTAATCAAGCCTCTCTACTTTCACATATGATGACTATTTGAGGTGATGAATTTTAGTATGAAAAGAGATAGAAATGACCCTATGAGGATCAAAATGTCAAAATAATCTACAAAGTCAAGTTTCTTAATGGTTTTGTAATAGTTTTCTATATACAACAGACAGGTGAGGACGACTCACAAGAATAAATCTCCTTGTAATCAAATTTTCTGGTGAAAGCCTTATTTGTCAACCATAAATTTTCATGATCGATCACAGGAATCTGCGTTTCAGACTGCAACATTTCTATTAGCCAGTACAGACACATTGAAAAAAAAATTGTTCTTAAAACAGACTAAATATATAGATTAGTTAATAAGAAAATTTTTGAACTAGCACACCAAAAAAAGTTGGGGAAAGTTACATGCATAACACCCAATTTTTATGGATTTACCTATCTCACACCTAATTTTTCATTTTTACACACATAACACTGTACTTATGGATGAAAAGATGAATTTGACTATTAAAAGTTGACAATGAGTACAACTTTTTATCAGATGTTTGTAATTATGAAAGTTTAGGTGTGCGATAGCTAAATATGAAAGTTTTGGATGTTATGTACGTAAAAGCCCCAAAAATCTTGAGATGGTCATCAATTAGTGCTTGAAGAAAAGGTGCTTGAAGAAAAGGACAAAGGCTTGAAGAAAAGGACAAAGAAAAAAAAAAAAACTTACTTGCAACTAAACTCCAACTGTTCAGTCCATAACTATAAGTAGATAACAAAACTCAGTTTTTGTTGGGGGAAAAAAATGGATCTGAACTGAATTCTCATCTTATTTGTGTGAGATGCTTAATATAATGGCATCAGTGTAATCTTCACAAGTATATATTCCTAAACACATGCTATGAACTTTTTACAGAATTGCATGACTATGCCTTCAACCCCCCCCCCCCAAAAAAAAAAAAAAAAAAAAAAGATTTTACAGTGTCTGTTTCATATAATCAAATGAAAACAATCAGCTGTCTAATGAATAATGATAGAACCCATCGTATACATTATAACTACAACAAATAGGAACCCAAATTCCATCATTCTCACAAACGAACCCTTCTCTACATTAGTCATCCCATCTTCCACATTCACCAATGGCATAACCGGCTCATCTGCTCCATCCCTAACAACTAGTGATGTGGATTCCTCCTCACCTTCATCTTCCACCTTCATCAATGGCTGCACAGGTGGAGCCATCATATCAACAGTACTAACAACCAAACTCTCCTCTTGATTCAAACTTTCAACCTTCACCAAAGAATGAATTGCTTCATTCCCTGCATTAGGATCTACCAAGCTTGTGTTAATCTCTTCCGCCTTTACCACATTTGGATTCTCCAAATTAGCTTCACAAGAGATGGAAACCGCTGAACTCGATCCACTTTCACTCATAAAACTATTCAAAAATGGCTGCTTTTCATCATCACTTGGCCTTCTAAAAAGACTATCATCTTCTACATCATAGAAGTTCCCTGTGCGCACTTCCTGAGCCAAAGCACAGCTCCAACAGAACATCCACTTCATGTAATCACTTAAAGACGCCGATCCACAGCAGAATCTGCTTTCTGGTAGCTTAAATCTCTTCCTCATCTGAATTCTCCAAAAACCCCCATAAATCAATCCAAATACACACAAAACTATCCCTGAAATCCCCAGCGCATCCCCAATAACATTGTCATGAATCTTCATAGCTGAAATGTTGAATATCCAAAAGGGAGCAAGGCATAGCAGAAGAAATGTGACAATGTGGACATACATGTTTCCAAATCCAAGCCTCTCCATATTCCATCCGAACACACAGAAAGTGCAGCAACATGAAAGATATGCCACTGGCACATCACTGAAGCAATCAAATAGCCCTCCAATCCATTCCGGTTCGCTCACGAGGACTCGTTGTCCATTACTAAGCTTTAGCCCAACCTTCATGGATCTCTGCAATTCTTCATCAAAATTGTATTCATACTCCCTTCCAAGAGGGCTGTAAATGGCATAAACCCCTGCAAAAACAGGTGTAGCGACACCCAAAGCAATTAATAGGTTTTCAAGGACTTCAGGCCTGTTAGATTTAGTGAAGCTCCAATAGACAGCACAAAGAGCATACTGAGCTATGCAAGTTATGTGGAGGAGGATGATGACAACCATCATGTGCGCCCATTCGTTGGGGCGGTGAGCTCCATTCTTGCAGTATATCTTTCTGAGCTCAATTATGTCTTCTGATCTCCATCTACAAAGTATGTACAAGTGATGGAACACAACAGGGTGCTGGTATATGCTCATGAGAGTGAACAGTGCGTTGAGGATTTGGTTGTTGATTTCAATCCAACGATTTCGTAGAGCCTTCTGTGGAAAGGCTTCGTTGAGAAGACCAAGCATGAGCAGACCAAGCATGGCACCGGAGGCAGCCACACAGATCAACCAGAGGAGGAGAGCAGCATTCATGGGATGAGAAAGCCATTCCTTGGATATGGTTAGTAGCGAAGAGAAATTAATTTTTCTGATGAAGTGGATGTGAAAACGACGGCGGACGCCGGCCGGAGAGGGGACTCCAAGGGAGATTGCCTCTCTGCGGTTAGCTGCTCGACGAAAGACTGCAAGTGGGGATGAGAATCGAATGTTCTTAATCCATGCCAAAGAAGGCCGAGCTTTCAGAAAATCAAAAAACCTTCTTTTCCTCATGCTTCTCTGATGCTCTAATAATCGTTCACGAAAAGAAGGGATTTGAATGCGATACTCCTTTAGTCTTGGAATAACAGGAGCCGAGTTGGATTCGATTTTGTAGTCAGATTCTTCTGTGATTTCTTCATGGCTATTTGAATCCATTCTACCTGCTCCGTTGATCGCTTCAGAAACTGTTCATCAACAAGACATGACTTTTAGACGCAGAACATAAGATGAAACAAGATCGTTCTTTTTAGACAAAAATTCAAAGTGGGACTTTTTAAAATCAAACAAAAGCATACTGAGGAGGAGATTGAGAGGCGGTAGAATTGATTACCTGTAGGATGGGGAGAGGAAATGGAAACTAGGTTTTAAGACGCCGAGAAGGGCGGGCTTCGATTGCGCCCCTCCGTACTCCCTCCCAACCCACTGCTGTTAAGCAAACGAAAAAAGTCCACTCCTATTTTACATGAATTCGGCAGTTAGTAATGCACTCCTCTTTAGAAGAAACCATGGAGTCGGGAAATGGCGGATGGAACAGGTCCATTCGAGCAGTCCGGTCAAAGCGGAAAAGATCGGTCACGCGTTCCTAAACCTTAGGTCTTACGCTATCTCCGCAGTCCATCTTAGCGCGGGTATTCAGACGCCACTAATTTTATGATTTCACAAACAATATATATATATATTATATATATATAAAGAATGTTTCGCGGCGTGAGGTCTCCAATTCATCATATTGCCTCAACTCCTGTCAAGTATGGGGGCGACCAATGCACTTAAATATTTGAGTGTCCCTTCCTTAAGGCAACAATTACCTGAGGAGAGATTCGAATCCCAGACCATAAGTGACTTACAACGCCGAAGCGTATGCTCTACCAACTAATCTTGGAACACAGCGCTTTCACACACACAATATGTATGTGGAGAACCTATAACCAAGAATATCATGAGCCCAAGCTTAGCGAGAATAACTTTGCTACAAAAATCCTAAGTTAGAAATGGAAGTGTCTTTCTATTCAGCTAGAGAAAGCATTAGTAAATGTAGAAGAACTAAATTTAAATAAAGATATCATATCAATGATCGATAAAGGAACTCTAATGTTTGACAGTAATGACAAAAATTTGAATGTTTAGTTCTTTATGAAAAGAACGGAAACAATTTATAAATTGCAAGACTTCTAATATCGAAAGATGATGATCATCAACATACATATTAATATCATCAAATCATCGAATAGAGACCATTAGACTACGACTATGATGGGCATCAAACAAGGTAGATGAAGTGAAATGTTGAATAACAATGATAATTGATACTGGATGATGGTGTTTGCCAAATAAAGAGCTAGTGAACTTATATAATTGTTAGATGATGATAGATGTTGAATGGCATATGTTAGACAGCATGCACTGAATGTCTAGCCATGGTTTATTCGCTGGAAGGCCAAAATAAACTTAATATTCATATAATCTATTATGATAATAATTGGGCAGATGCAGAGCCATTAACGGTCGACGGTGTTTGTGGGGCCCGCAGCCTCGAGTGGGCCCAGTAGGAAAGGCGGAGGGAAACTGCCTGGTAGCCATTTCTGACCTACAGAAACGTCAATTAAAATGATCAATCAGACAAGAAATAATAAATAGCTTCGCAATCAGTTGAATTTGCGGCCTTAGACTATTGGTGGAAATTAGCGCGGACTAAGGATTTTGTAATATTAGAAAAGTTTTGGATGGTAGCTGCAATAAAATTATATTTAATTGAATTAAATATAATTTAATGCAAATTGCAGAATCTCTTCTTGTAAAATATTGGCTTTTGGTCTTTTACTTTGGTCAAGTTTAAATGATATTTAAATACTTGAATTAGCTGGCACGTTCAGTCGTGTCGAATTATTGTAAGGATGGCTTCTCATCAGTCTAAGTATGAAAAGGGGCATTTAATTGTATGCCAACCAATTCTTATGTGTTTACATAGCTGACACCGAAAATTTGGTTTACATTTATATCATTTGAATTATTCATAGTGATACACCATTAATAAATTCTTCCATCAAACACGAATTTTGAGACAAGACATAAATCTCGAAATAATATTTTGAAGAATAAATATTAAATCTTTGATAAAAACACAACTAAAACTCCGATTTTAGCAAACTTATAGTCAAACTGAGTGGCTCGACGAGACGGTTCCGATGATACCAAAATTGATCCAGTATGAGTCACATCAAGCTCAGATTAAACCATTAAATCACATTTGGAAGATTTTCATGAATTTTTGGAAGTTCAAACCAATGTCGAATACGGCGAGTTCATACTCAAATCGAGCGTCTCGACATCGTTCAGGCACTCAAATGTCCATCAAACACTATCTGGTAGAAAAAATATCTCTGAGTCGTCAGATCAAAGTGGTTCATATTCCTACATTAATTGCACTCATAACTCTATAAATAGAGTCGCATCCATCAAACACTATCTGGTAGAAAGAATATCTCTGAGTCGTCAGATCAAAGTGGTTCATATTCCTACATTAATTGCACTCATAACTCTAGGGGGCTTGAAGCTTTGAGAAAGAACTGAAGTTCAGCATCCCTTTTGCCGCCGTCAATCCCCAACAACTGCAATCGACCACCGTTGACCGCCGCTGCCGACCACCGTCAACTATTACTCATCGGTTGTTGCTTATTCGCATTGTTCGCCGTCCATTCCTTGTAACAAGTTTATCAACACCGACGTAATTCAGATGGCTTTGTAACCTTTTCACACCTGTGAGACAATGGTTCTTAGGGTATAGGTCTCTGTAATCAGCAATTTATAGTGTATTTTATAGCTGAGTCAGACCCCACGATTATTTTATTTTCTCGATTTTCCACGTAAAAAACTTTGAATTGCGCTACTAATTATTTTCATCTATCTGAGTGTATGTTGATTCTTCGTGCAACGTTGAGATGATAAACTATTGCTCTAACACTATGAATTTTCTCGCACACATCACGTATCATATAGAATACACCACTATTTTAACTTTTAAAAAGCGATACACAGCCTTTTATATGTAGGTGAGGTAGTAAGCAAGCAAAAATAGTTTTGGTGTTAATTATGTAAATACATAGGGATTGAGTGTTATTTACGTAAATGTTTCATTTAAAAAATATATACGTAGAAGAAAAACAATTTATAATATTAAAAAAGGCCATAATTATTTAATAATGAATATACGACAGTAATTAGGATCTAAATACGTTAAATAAGGGGGTTAATTTTCAGACGCGAGAATTCGTAAAATGAAATTATAAAAAAACTTTATGCTGCGCATTTTTTCCACGAACGCATGGAAAATAATGTTACAAAAATGGTCGTAGGAATTACATAAAGACCCCCTGAAACTTGTTATTTACAAATCAACCAACCTCTTTCACACATTTTTCGAATTCACACTCTAATATCAAAAATTCATGGTAAAACCCAAACCATGTTTTTCTTTTCAAAAAAATCAAATAGATGCTTAATTTATAAAAATATGCCTTGGATGGTCTGTATGCAATTATCCCTATTTTTAAATATTAGTTGCATCCGGATTGAATACTAATGGTAGCATTTTTAGATATTATTAGTAGTATTATAGTGATATTATGATAAAATGACACGACAAAACTATTAACAACAATTAAAATACTACCAGTCATACCTGCAAAATCCGGATGCAATATTCTCTCTTGTTAGAGCCTAGAAGTGCTCTTGATGTTCAATAGTTTAAAATTAAATAAATTTTTTAGAACTTAGAAATAGGTAATATTATTTTTTTTAGAAAATACATCAAGCATTCACATGTTGCAAGTCCCCAATCTATTCAAGAAATATATATATATATACAATACAAGTTTGAAGATCAATATAAGCTTTTCTATATATAAAAAAAATATGAAATTTATGGTAAATTCTTTATTTGCATATATGATGGAAAATGATGCAAGACAAATTGATGATTTACAAACTTACCACAAAAGTGTGTGAAATTATACACAGCTTTGGAACACTTCTTCAATGCTCTTCCTGAAAATCAGTCAGGGATAGAAAGACAAGATTTCTCATAATATCAATAAACTAAATTCTAAAATTAAAAAAAAAAAATCATGATTTATTCCTGTAATTCAACGAAATATCATTTAAACACTGGAGAAATCATTTACAGAAAACAGTTTCGCAGATCAGAAGAAAAACATAAGAATTGAACGAGTCTCTAAGACATACTTACAGGCCTGTACTTAAAAAAACCATATATATCATGGCGCTGGACCGGCTTCTCTTTGTATCAGAGGAGAAACTGGAGGTTTCATAGGATCAATAGAGCTTCCGAAGGATTCATCTTCCTCCACCACTGGCAAAGGACTCCCTGGAGCAAACCTACCCGGAGACCTTGTTGGAGTTGTTGATTCTTTCATCAACTCCAATGGACTTAAGTTCCCTCCATGGGGAGAACTAGGACTCCCCGGAGCGAACCTACTCGGAGATTTTGATGTATAGGGAGGCAAAGCATCCTCACGACGCAAAGGGGAAACTGGAAATCCATTGCCATTAGTTGTATTCTTCAAGAAAAATTTGTCTTCAACAATATCATAGTAGTCTGTTGTTCTCACCTCCTGAGCAAGAGCACAAGAACAACAACAAAGCCACAGAAAGCAATCAGAAACTGAAGGTTCGTTACAGCAGAATGTATAAGCTGGCAGCTTAAACCTCTTCCTCATCTGAATCCTCCAAAAACCCCCATACAGCAAACCAAACACACAAAGCAAAATTCCAGCCACTCCCAGCGTCTCTCGAACAGCCTCGTTATCAATATTAACAGCTGCGAGGTTGAAGATAAAGAAGGGCGCGATGCAAAAGAGCAAGAAAGTCATGATGTGCACGTACATGTTACCGAACCCAAGCTTCTCCATGTTCCATCCAAAAACACAGCAGCTGCAGAAGACCGACAGGTATGCAAGCGAAATATCATCCCACAAATCGTATATTCCTCCAATCCATTGTGGATTGTTCTCCGGAGCCCGTTGATTTCCCTGCAATGCGAACGAATATTTTCTTTCGAACGACTTAAGCCGGGGTTGAGCAGGCTTGACGACTTCGGTTTGTGCTTCTTGATCAACGTTAGTCTCGTAGTCTCTTCCAAGTGGACTCAGCATGCTATAGACGGCAGAAAAAGCGGGAGCTCCGATTGAAACGGATAGGCAGATAGCAACTCCAATGGCGGGTCTCTTTGATCGAGGGTATCCTAAGTTTAGACCGCATAAAGCATACTGAGCGAAGCAATTTACATTGAGAAGAAATACTACCACCATCATATGCACCCATTCATTTGGTTTATATAACCCATTCTTGCAATACAACTTTCTGAGTTTCAGAACATCTTCTGGCCTCCACCTGATCAGAAGAACAAGATGATATAATCTCTTTGGGTGTTGATAGAGGCACATAAGTGTAAATAAAGCATTTAGGATTTGGTTATTGACCTCAAACCAGCCATCTCGCTGGGATTTCCTTGGCAATATGCCGTCTAACATTCCGGTCATCACCATGAACAAAATGGCACCAGAAATAGCAACACAGAGGATCCAAATGAAGAGGGCCATATTCATTGGATTTCGAATCCATGTTTTCGAGAGTTGCCACAGAGAAGCCCAATCAATTTTCCTAACAAACGGAATACTGAATCTGGAAGAGTGGTTTAGATCAGCTGAAGTAACTGAACGAGAAACTTCATCCTTTTCTTCAGCAATCTGCCAGAACTTGGCTGATGGAGAAGGCCCGAGTTTCAAATATTTGGCGCTATTAGGAAAGAATCTGAAAAATTTTAGAACCATAATACTTCTCTCTTTTTCATCTAATAGTCCTCTACGAGATGCCCGCAAGTCCGGAGGGATCTGATTTTTTTTCCAATTGGGAGATGTAGTTTGTCCTGTTTCTTCCTGAATTTCATTGGCACATTTTCCATTAGGACTAGAAATAGAAACCATTTTCCTTGAAATTTAATTAAATCCACAATTATCTTTTGATTATGCCAGGGTTCTCTTCATCATTACAGGGCTGATGGAGAGCAGATGGTAACCTGTTGAATATTCAGAAAATTTAGTTTATTTAGTTATATTAACAACAATTCAAACAAAGTGAAGCATTCACGGATGTAATTTTCTATGGAGGTAAAACTATCCATAAATAGGGAGTCGAAGTAATCTGATTAAAGCTTGGCTAACTAAATTCATTTTTCAAAGTTTTCGCCAACTAGCGCATTACAAGAAGTTCTGCTGTGGCGGTGACTTGAAATTAAGCTCAACAACAGAGTGGCTCAACAAATCTGAAAAAAAATTAAACAAGCTGGCGGATGAACAAAATCAACCACAAATATGAAAGCAGATCTATAAACAAAATAATCCTTGGATAAGTCAATTAATATTAGTTCATGGTAAGCTTGAATGAATACTACAATAAAACCTAGTTTATGCTTACGAAAATACATGCAATCGAGGTTATCTGACTATATAAGCAAAAATTATTGCCAATCAATAGACTTCTGATGATTTCGTTAAAGCCAAAACGGTAAAAAGCTGTCAGCTTATGGAATCTGAAGTGTATACACACCAGACAGAAAATGGACTTCAAAGGAAATTGCATTTTCTTTTTAGCTATTTTAAACATACCTAGGAGATTGGTCCGAGAAAGAATGAGCTATGCTTTTCAATATTTCAACTTCCGCTTTAGGCTTAATTAACTACTGTAGAAGCCATTTCCATAAGCATCATAAGCAATCCAGGTTTCAACTTTCAAGGCTTCCTATTCTACAAGGTTAGGAAACACGTATAAATTCCTTCCCAAATTCTTGCTATAATACAGTTAGCTTTTTCCGATTCTTCTTTCATAGCCACCGGATTGCTTTCCAGTTACTGTGCTACAGTGGCAGATTCCACTGATTTTCTACAGTAGTGTTTCCCTTTCGTTTTTTTTGCTAAATCTGGATTGTTTACCTCTGTTTGCTGATGAATTTCCACTATTGTTACAGTTTGGCAAATGTCTTTCCACTATTAAATACAGTTAGTTGTCCCTGATTGTTGGACTAAGTTAAGCCTCTTTTGCGGATAATTCACAAGAAAATTATTAAACCTAAATTTGATTCCTAATTCTAATGGGATGGGAGAAATGAGCTTGTGGCTTTTCATTAAATATAGAATGATTATGGAAAATAAGTTATTTTGTTCTCCTTTGAAAGTTATAAATAGGACCCTAAATAATCAGCAACAATATAAAATTCTATATTTTCTCAATTATTGTGACTGCCAATTGGATTTGTTTTATTTGATCGCTTCGCAGTTGTGTTGTGATTCAGAGCAGAAATTGGCAAGACTTTCCACAGAAATTAGGGCAACATATACTTTTATTTCACAAACACTAAACAACACAATATAAAAACATAAAGATAAACACCTACATTTCAAGAGACATGCAATCGCTCACAATTCCTGCCATTCGAGAGGTAGGAAATCTCTCTCAAACACTAACCCTAAAAATCACAACAATAATCTCAAACATAAACGTAACCCTAATATATTAAAGTCTACTTATGCCCAACAATAATAATAGCAAAAGACCAATAACCCTTAGGCAGATAAAAGAAAAATTACCCTTAGGCCGGTGCGTAACATGTTGATTAATTTCGGTGAAAAGTTTCCTTGTTTACATTTAAAACTCAAGTATTCCTTCGACATGATTTCTATCGTTTCTATTTAGCGATTTGTGTGTTCACAATTACCACTTCTTCAAGTATGACACAACAATAATAAGCATTTATCCCACTAAGTGGGGTCAGCTAGATGAATCCTTTTCTCCATTGTGTCCTATTGAGTGTCATATTTTTCACTTAATTTTAATAGATTAAGATCATTTTTTATACCCAAGCCTTTTTAGGTCTACCTCTGCCTTTCTTAATAAAAGTAGAATCTAAGAGATCTATTCTCCTAACCGGATCATTAGATAGTCGATGTTGAATGTGACCAAGTCATCTAAGACGACTCTCTAATCTTGTTCGCCATTAGAGCTACACCAACCCTATCACGGATATATTCATTTCGCATATTGTCTCTAAATGTCAAGTCACTCATCCACCTAAGCATTCTCATCTCACTAACACTTAACTTTGTTTTATGCTTCTCTTTTAAAGTTCAACATTTTGAGTCATAAAGCGTTGCAAGCTCGCCACCATCTTATAAAATTTTCCTTAAAGTCTAAGTGCTACTTTTCTATCATACAAAAGGCCCGATGCATTCCTCCACTTCAACCAACCAACTTGAATTCTACTCATAACATCCCCATATATATCACCATCACTTTGAGCTATAGACCCGAGATATCTAAAATGTTCACATCTTTTAATGATTTGATTACCCATAGTTAGAACTCTGCCACTAGAAATACTACCACCACTAAAATTACATTCCATGTATTCGGTTTTAGAACTACTCAAACGAAGGCCTTTAGACTCCAATGTAGACCTCCCTAATTCAACTTTTTTCCTGAACTCTTTCTCTAGTCTTACCCACAAGAAGGATATCATCAGCTATAAAACATACTTCAACGCACATACTCCTGTCAATAAGAGCAACCATAACTAAACTAAAAAGATACGGGCTTAAAGCCGATCCGTGATGTAATCCAACTGAAATAAGAAAATGCTTAGTCAATCCTCCTCCTATTTGAACACAAGTACAGCTCTAGTTTACATATCTTTAATGACTTGAATAAAAGCCATATCAACACATTTCTTCTCTAGAACTTTCCAAAGAACATCACTTGGAAGCTTAACGTAAGTTTTTCTAAATCAATAAAAATCATATGTAGATCCTCCTTACTCTCTCTATTCTTCTTCATCAAACCTCTCAATAAATGTATAGCTTCCATAGTAGACTTGTCTGGTATAAATCCAAACTGATTATGAAAAATCATTGAATCACGTCTTAACCTATGTTCAATTACCCTCTCCCGCAATTTAAAAAAATGACACATAAACTTAATTCATCTATAATCTGCACTCTTGTACATCCCCTTTATTCTTAACAAAAGGGATCAAAATACCCTTCCTCCACTCAGATGTATTTTTAGTATTTAAAATAATATTAAAGAGTTTGGTAAACCAAAAAACTCCCAAATTTCCTAAATATTTTCACACTTCAATTGGGATATCATCGGGTCCTACTGGTTTTCCACCCATGGCTTTCTTCAAAGACTTCTCAACTTTTTTTAACTAATGCAACGGTAAAAATAAAATATTTTATCATCATTAATGATATTAAGATCACTACGGAAGATCATATTTTCATAAATTTCATTGAAAAGTTTATCAAAATAGCTCACCCGCCTATATTGAATATCTTCCTCTATGAAAAATAATTTTTTTATTTTCATCTTTAATACATTTTACTTAAATTAAATTTGTTTTCACTTTGTTTGGCTAGTTTATAAATGTAATTTTTAATATCTTCAGTATTTAATCTATTATAAAGATCATTATAAATAAAATTTTTAGCGAATTTTTTCTCTTACTCCCAATGGGTCACCTTATATTTTTCTCACTTTACTGAATTTTTACATTTAAACCAATTTCATAACATATTTTTATATTTTATCTTTTCATGCATATTATTATTTCACAATCAAATACTTTTATTTATAAAAACTTTTTTTTTTATTCCCCACGTGCCTCTTAGTGCTTGTTACTTTATCCCACATAGAATTAACTTCTTCCGGCGTACCTCTCAATTCTTAAAATCTTGACATTTTCTCATAAAAATAATTTCATATGTATTTTCGGTGCTCCCATTTAATTCTATCTATTATTTATCTTACAACTCATCATCTTAAAATTCACAACTAATAATCAATGTTGAGTACTTAAATTTATTTTCACTTTAAATGACCTTACAAGCTTTATATTCTTGACGATCTCTTTTTTTCCTAATAAGAAAATAATCAATTTGTATTTTATTATGTCCATTATTATAAGTTAAAGCAAAATCTAATATGATTCTACATTCTTCATTAATCACTCCAAAACCATAGCCAACATGAATATTTCTAAATTTTTCTATCACTCTACCAACATATCTATTTAAGTCTCATTCAATAAAAATTCTTTTATTAAAAGGTATCATTTGTATTAATTCCTTAAACAATCATCTAAACTTTTTCTTTGAACCTATATCTAAGCCTAATTGAGGAGCATAAGCACTTATAATGTTAAAAATCTTAGTATAAACAATAATCTTTAGGGCTATAATTATATCTTCAATTATATTGATATTTACAATAATATCTTTCAAACTTTTATTTATAATTACGCATACACTATTTCTAATGTGGCTCCTACCTGAATGTCAAAGTTTAAAACTTAAATTAATAATCTCCTTAGCAATTTTTCCAATCAATTTAGTTTCCTGAATACATAAGATATTCATCTTCTTATATTTTATAATATCTACTAATTTTATTAATTTACCTATAAGTGTGCATATATTTCAAGATCATAACCTAGTATTAGTTCCATTGACTAACTTTTTTGCCCGCATCTGACTATAATGTGGAAACTCCTGCTTATTTGAAACTACACTCAGGCAACGGTGTTGTGGCCTTTGCACACTTTTCACTGTATTCATGTCATAAAGCGCGTCGCTTCCAGGGGACATCATAGCATTGACACAAGGATTTAAAGAATTCATGTCATGATTTTTCGACAAAAATTTTACACTAGCTATCGACTACCTAACACAACCCTCCAATTTTCGTATCCAAGACATGGGACCCAGCAATGACAGTATTTTTTTTTTTCAATTAAGATAGAAGTAAAAGAAACTTGTAATGATACAACTTAATTGTTCTTGAAATTTTAGTCATTTTGATAATTTCTTGTACTAATAAATTAATGCTTGAAATGAAAAAAAGTATGTTATTTACATTAAAAGGTTTGATTTTTTTCTACAATTAATAGTCAATGACATGTGAATTGTGTTTGTTCTGTGACTGCGTAATGCATCTCCTCCTAGGTTGAATTCATAGAACTATAACTATCCTGCATCCAATTACTATCATTTAGCATCAACATTTTAACTAAAAAAGAGTAAAAAAAAACTTAATTAACGGTATGATTTAAGCTGATTTGCGCAAGTAATAATTCTAAATGAATACAGCATAATTTTCAGGGGGAGCAACATGGCAGACGTACATTCAATAAGAGAATCAAGAGATTTTTTCATAATGCATCAATAATTTGGACTACACTTTGAAGAGTAAAATTTGTTTGAAGATGTTAAAATTCTTGAAATGAAATTAGTTGGAATTGTTCAAATTTGTTGGCGTAGTATTGCAAGCAAATAAGATCAATATGGGCTGACATGCGACTAACTTAAAATAATGGTGTATGGAGATTATCATGACCAGCTGAATAATGATCTTAAGGTTTGTAAATAAAGTAATTCTAGTGTGTCTGCATATTATTATAGGCTAGCAGATCTCATAATAAAATGTAATTTACCAAGAGACCTATCTGGTTATCATAAAGTGTATTGCTAAGGGTCTGAGGCAAGAGTAGAGATGCTCTTAGACGACAATTTAACAAAAACCTGGAGTGAGGTTTTAACCAAATCTTTGAGTATTGACGCATATTAGTTGTATCACACCTATAATTAAAATTCCTAAATATAAATATTCATTTCCTCCTCTCAAACCTGCTAAACATTCACTAACACAAAATATTATGTATGATCAAGAAATCATGAATATCCATTCGAAGGTTGATTAAATGAAGACTCATAATTACATGTAAACTTGTTTAATGTTGTGAAGTATGAATTTGCACCTACGCTAAAATTTATTCCTGAATCTGTATTTGAATAAAGGTTTGTCCAAATTTGAAATTTAGTTAAATGTTTAAATGTAAATCCCCATGACAAAGTAAACTTACAATTCAAACTAAACAAATCATATCTCAATTGTGAATCTATACTTCCAAAAAATTTAAATCCATTCTTAATTGTGAACTGAAACGCTAACAAACGGTTTAATGTTTAAATTTGGCCTTTTAATTGACACTAAATCCAATCTTGAGTTTTAATTTGAACTTCTCAAAGAAATTTCTTGAACATAAAATTGAGATTCTGTAAGTTATTTAATATATTCCTGAATGTGTACTTGAACGGATCCTGCTTTTTGCAATCTATGAGTTTATTAAGCAAACTAAAATAAATTATGAATATGAAAATAAATAGCTCGTGCCTACTACAAAGAAAATAAATCAATTGAACTAGTTTTTAACTCCTGAAAATTTAACAAAATTATCAATGCCAAAATAAATAAAAATATTTTTTTCCTTTAGAGCGTTAGTTTATCAACATACAAATTCATAAAGACACTGAGAAATTAAATTCATAAAGAGCCAAAAGGAAAAAATAAATTGATGGGTTATGTTTTAATTAGCTTTTTCATGGAGAAAGCTCTAAGAAAAAATAAATTTTAAACTTTGGTCAAAATTTGAATGTGCCAAAAATATATCTTTGAATGTGCAAAAAATATCTCCGCTAGTTCTATGGCCATTTGAGTTAGCTATTTAAAAAAAAACTGTCCATCAAAATAGGCATTCCACATTTGTGTGGCAATTATGTAAATTTCTTTATAAACTCATCATCTAAGATAAGCCATCAGAGATTATTGTCAGTATGAATTATAACAAATGTTGGTATTCTACATTTTCATCATTTGTTTCATACTACTTTATGTTTTACATAATTTAATTAATTTATATAAAGACAATCACATGAAGTAACTATTGATTATAACAATTATAACTATACTGCTAACAAGAACATGAGGCATGTGAAACTCACACTAGATAAAATAATCTTACGCCTAAATCCTAAAAAGCATCTTATGAAGACTTCTAAGAAATTAACGAGCAAAAAGATGAGATGACAGAAAATCATACACCGCATTGGGGCTGAGTATATATGAATCAAAAAGTCCAAAAAATTTTAAGAGTGTAACAAATTTTAATTTATCAAATTTGATTTTATTTTGATTAACTTGATGCCAATAAGCTGAATTTACCTCTTCCAATCCCCTCTTTGATAATTCACATTGGGCACTTTACCAAATAGATCAGCTCACCATGTACGAGAAATTTATATAAAGATTACATCTGCCGTTAACAGCATATATCAAGGTTTATTATACATTAGAATAATATATTTATTTTTAAAAACTGTTGCCGGTAGTTGTTGGATCAAAGTTCTGCCGCCACTTCTTTTTCTTATAGGGATAAATTCATATAAAAATTATTGAACCTAAATCGGATTCCTATCATTAATGTTTTAGGAGAATGGAAACTTCGAAGATTCACTTATATTGGGTCCCTTGTGGGATATAAATAGAAATCTTGAGGCATTTCAAAGTCATTTGACATAAATATTAAAAAAAAAAAATATTTCTTCTCAATTTGAATGTGTTGGATGGTTGTATTTTTTTGAGCTCATTGCCACAGTTGATAGCTGCTTTTAGGGGTGAGGCTCTTTTATTTAGATTGAGGTTTGAATCTTCCCAATGGTCAATTTCTATCATTCTTATAGCTTTAAATTTGTCTAGTGGCAAGCATGTGTGAGTAACTGAAAATTTATCCAATGTGATGCATATCAGATTTATTTATGTGATATGAAGCTTTATCGTTGCTAAAATTTAATAATTGTTTGTTGTTTAATAAAAATTTTTAGACATTGGCGACAATTAAATTATTATTTAGAATGAAATATGAGTGCTGCTTGGTTTTTTACACTAAAAAATTTTAATTTTTGCTGCAATTAATTATCAGGGGCCTGGGAATTATATTTTCTATATTTTCATTCAAATTCTTATATTAAGTTACATTAGTAAACCATAAACTTTAGACTGCCCTACATCACATACAATTGTTAAAAGAAGGTATTAAACACCAAAAATACACTCTTAGAGTAAACAATGTGCTATTCAAAAACTTAAATAGATTAGTAGATTTATGTACACACCTGGTTTATCTATTAGCCATTATTCATGAGTTTGTGCAACTATGTCATAGGCAAGAAAGCAAATATATAAACGGAGCAATCTATGAACTAATCATTGATTGACATAGTGGCAAACCTTCTCTCTAATCTGGATGGCGGGGAAAAATTGCTTAGTGACAGATGTTGAATCCAAATTTATTTGTGAATTACACTAAAACATTACCAGCAGTCACAAAGAAATGAAAAGAGAAATTAAGAGAGCAAAAGAGAAGATTTAGAGTTAAAGCTCTGAGATTTCATGGTAATGGGTTGAAGTATAACAAATTGCATAAACCGAGTTCTTTTCATAACCCTCAATTTGCAACTTTAAAATAGGATTTGTGTACTAAAAAAATGGCTATATATTGAATTACATGACTAATAAATAAATAAATTGATTGCTTCATATAAAATACACATAATGTGCAACCTAATTTTAATAGAATTGAGTACTTGGACCTATAGCTTACTTGCTAAGAAAAAGTTGTGGATCGTCTTTGAACTCACCAACTTGGCAAGTAGATCCCAAGTACGAGCGAGTATGCTGAATCTTTAGACCAGCAAGCTTGAGTTTTGAAGAATACTGCTTTTAGACTTCCAATAGTTCATCATGATTTATCAAGGTAGGGCAAGTTCCTATCAATATGTGTGAATTTATGCTAACTTGAGTGAACTCATGCAACCTGGGCAAGTCCTAGTTGTTGAACCTTCAAAATATTTGAACATTTAGTACATCGATTTCTTATAGTTGTAGACTATAAATGCAAATAGAATAAAATAATAAGAAGAAGAGTAATCATAATATATATATATATATATATATTAAATACCAATGTAATTACTTTTGCACTTTTCTTCTTTGGAGAAAATTTAACCTTGTCTGGTCGAGTTCACAATTAACTTCAACTTTTGAAAATTAGTTAATAAAACACACACACACACAAATATGTATATATGTATGTATGTATATATATGTATATATGTATATGTATGCATGTATATATATATACAGATGTATATATAGAGAGAGAGAGAGAAAGAGAGATCTCTGCATATGTATGTACGTATGTATGTACACACACATACATAGGTACATATGTATATATTTATAAATACATACACATAAATGCATAGATACATACAAATATCTATATCTATATATACAGAAATAGATGTGTGTGTGTGTGTATTTTTTAGAAATCCCAAGGCTAATATATTAAAAAGAGAAAAGGATACAGATAGATTGTGTAAGAGGACTCAAGCATGATACCCTACCCACACGATAAACACCGCATGCAAATGGTTCTACAAAAAAAAAATATAGAAAAATACATAAGAGCCCAAAAAAAACCAAAAATACCAAAACACGTAGTATAAGGTAGCTAGAAAGCGACCTAATTTTGTTATGTCTCTGCCTCTAGTCTAGGAAATGAGTCAGCTAACAAATTCGTAAGATGAGTGACATTGTCAGTAGTAACCAATGTATCGTCTAAAAAGTTCCTAAGCTCAAGTCGGCCTCCATTATTCTTCTTCCTCATGGAATAGACCTGTCATTCCTCATCTGAAGGCTGGCTCACCTGATCAGTGGATTGGTCTAAAGCGTGTCGGACATGTGTGGGTTGTTGAATATTGGAAGCAACTACTTGTTGTACCAGCTGATCTTTTATTGGATCAAAGGAGCACTCTCGTTTGTCTTGGCATGTAAGTGAGTCTTATTCAATAACAGTGAGTGGTATAGACACGTTTAGATCTGTACTTGTAGTATGGGAAGATGCTTCATGAGACTCCAAAGTACCATGCTCCAAACGAGCAGATTGTTCAAAAGCAGGAGCATCCAAGGGTAGAACAGGTTGGATATGGTGTTCTTCATCAGAAACTGTAGTGTTGGAATGAGGGTCGGGCTGCACCTTCTCAGCAGGGATGGTAGGTGGCAAGACGTCGACCCCTAATACAGTAAGAAAATATTTTTGAACAGGTTGTTGATCTTTAGTTATATCCCACCTTAGATGAGGATGCAAGGGATAGCAGATAATAGAACTAAAGTCAAACATACTGCAATGAGAGCAATAAGATGGGTGTGGTTCTATTTCAACCTTTTGTCAATACCCATTAAGAGTGGTTCTAATTCATATCTCATCCGAAACTGGTTGAGTGATATCTCTCTCAACTAACACGCAAGCCACAGAGGGTTTGGTGACAGCTAGCATAGGACTATCAACCTTGAGAGACTTACCGTAAGCAGTTGCTAAGAAGTAAAGAATTTTCAAGTTGAACAAAAGTAGTTTTAACCCCGAAAAATTTATCCAAACAAGAATGATAAGGGACTCGCATTTGGATCAAAATCGACAGTCCACTTCAGAATTTTCATAAAACGGTTGTTGATCTTGATAAGTTTACGAGAAAAAATATGTGTAATCTGTATCGTGAGATAACTGAATAAGTATATGTCTGTCATCAAGTAAGTCAATATTTCAACTGCCCAATAGTTTCATAGCATCAAAATCTTTTTGAATGATCTCAAGTTTTGGGTGACCATAAAAGAATTTCTCTACTATAGCAAAACGTCAATAAGACATAAGAGTACTGGTTTCAACCTCAGTGAGAATAAGAGCGGGCTTCACATTTTTTCTGCCAAGTTTTTTAATGAAAGTGTGATCACCACCACCTTCAAGAGCCTCGTAGAAGTATTATGGAACATTGCAAGACTTACCGATACCAAAATCAGGCTCTGAAACTGAAAGAGGGGCACGAGCAGGAATAGGAAAGTCGCTAGCAAGAGTAGTTGCATAGGAACGGAGCGTCGAGGCCATCTCCACCGACAAGATGGCCACGGTCAGAAAAGAAAGGCTTGGCGAGCCACAAGGAGGATGCGAGCAGACTTTAGGCAGTCTGGAGCGAGTGAGGAGACGATTGCGAACGAGAGAAGTGTCTTCGACTACAAGAGACGACTGCGAGAAGGAGATAGTGACGTCGTTTATGGGAGTCAAACGGCGTCAGCTGGAGCGATCATTGTCGACTACGGGAGACGACTGCGAGCGATCGACTTCGACTGGAGAGGCGGCAGCAAGCGAGCTGCGCGTATGTGAAAATGTCGTCGAGGGAGACGACGGAGAGAATGGGAGAAATCGATAGATTCACCGTCGGGAATCGCCATCGGGAGAAACCCTAGCAGACCCGTTATCGCTGTTGCTGACGACATATATATATATATATATATAGAAGAAAATTAGGACTCTTCACCTATGTCAGCATTGTCAGTTACCAATAAATTGGGAAATGTTGCTTTAGTTTATAGATTGATAGCTGTTTTAGCTTATTCTTACTCTTTTCTCCGTTCTTCTTTCAAAACAATCATTCCTAAAGAAACTAGCAAGGTTTCAAAAGATGCTACAGTTATCAACATTCTTAGGTGGCGTAAGAGGGAGGAAAAATGGTTCTTTATAGAAGAAAATAAAAAAGAGAAGCTTGAATCTATCAATACGAGTCAGAGAAAAGATCAAATAATCTTGGTTCAGTCAATGACTTATATCGTAAAACCCACTAATGTTCTTCCTTCTCCGCCAACTGTAAACATCCTTCCATTGAGCAAGCTAAATTGATGAATGAGCTAAAGATCAGTCTACTTGTATAATTAAAAAAAAATTGAATTATTTTATAGCAATGTTCAGTATTAACCATACTATTTAATTTTGTATATTATACAAAGGTGTCTCCAACGGCTTCAATAAGTCCAACAAAGCAAATTGCTTTAGTGATTATAGAACTTGCTGGCGAGAAGATAGTTGTTGACGGTAAATTCATCTCATCTTTTGTTAAAACAAATGTTTAATTAGAGTTTTTGAATTACACCAATGATATTATAGTTTATTATTCAAGGAACAGGCTTTGAGGTGAAGATCAAGGTAACTATAGTGATGTAGCTTCCCACACTTAATGCGCCTGGCTATTAACTCCATTAGCAAAGAATTTCATTTTTTCCCATTTGGCCCTCTAAAATGAACTGTTAGTGCCACCTCATCCAAAATCTTCCCTTATGTATGTCCCTACGGTTCTGAGTAAGTTGAGAATTAATTTTCACTCATCTACCCTCTTCGCTAGTGCTAAATAAACTTCAAATTACCAAAGGTATCAATGGATCTCTAATCAAATCTTTTAAAACAGAAAGAAATCTATAGCACATCTTATTTGCAATTAAAACTAATTGTGGTGCATACCTTGATAACATTATAAATTTAACTCATACTGCATGACTAATTTATCCAGTTGCACCAATCTAACAAATTTATCATGCATCTGGCTCCGTGTAGAAAGCATCACAAACCAATCTCTAAATATTTCTATAAAATTTTCCCAATTAATCGACCCATTAAGCATATCTCCAAGCCTGTATTGACTTTGCCCTTGACATCATCTTTCAACATCTCCATCTAATACAATATAGCTCGAGACAACTTCCTTTGAACTGGGCAAGACATACTATATAAAATCTACTCTATTAGTAATAGGCAATTTTCAACTCCTAATAATCATTTAGTTCCTTTAAACAGTGGTGGCAGTGAATCCTGGAACATCTTTAAATATTTATCTATGACAGATGTCCACCGTTTCCATTATACTGCAATCTAGAGTCTTGGGTAAGTTAGGTCATAACCGCCATCATCTAAGCCAAGGTATTTTTATTCACAATGACATTGGGAGGTAATTCCTCTCCCACCATATGAGCATCCCCATCCTCAATCTGCTCTGGAGCAACCACATGTCTAAAATAAAAATCAGGTTATCTAGTTAAAGCTAACCTAACTCAAATCACTTAAATTAACAAATATCTTCTTTCCACTTTAGTTAATATTGATATTATTTAACTCAAGTCTTTCTCTAATATCATTTTTGTCATAACCTAGCCCAATGGCTTGAAATTTTCAACAGGAGAAGAGATGATCGAACGGCGAAATTCAACTTTAATTACTAATTCTAAATTTGATAAATAAAGAAAGAGCCAAAAAAAAATGCTAAAATCAATGTTAATGGTAAAAAAACATACATTGATCTAGTGTTGACTCGTCTGCGATACACAATCTCTCTATCATTCATTTTTATTTGAAAATATTAATTCAACATGATGAATTATCTAAAATAACTCAATTGAAAAATTACACTTCTAAACTGCAGTAACTCAATGAAAAGAATGCAAAATGTATGATGTACTTCCTTTAATGTTATAGAAAATCATATAGATATATTAATGATATGATCTCATATAAGGAAAAAATTTTATATATACATTAATGTTTATCTTCTTTTTCAAAGTTTAATCATTTTACTTTTAGTGTATTTGTTCCTTTTAACTTGTAGATCCGTCTCAGGAACATCATCTAAACATAAATTAACACGCCTTTGACCAATATATACATGATCGTCACAGTGGGGTGCAGAACAAGACTACTATTATCTGAGGTGGAAAAATACATACTCATACTTGATCAAGATATTCATGTTGGCACAGTAGTTTGCATTCTAAATTTCACATTTGTTTGAAATAATAAGAAAACATCTATTTGCGTGAGTACATTGGTGTCTCCATCCAATATCATAAGGGGTAAACTTCTTTTAGTAAGCACATACAAATATATATATATATATATATATATATATATATATATTACATTCTTTATAGCATGAATTATTTTTTTAAATGAAATATTTCATATTTATCTACCAGTGAATAAATATCATTCTAACATAATCTAAAAATCATGTTATAAACTATTATCATTCAATAAAAAATAAAAAAATGGTATCATTATTTATGCAAAAATATTTGCATGCATATTTCATGCCTGATAATATGAAGAATCAGTTACAGTTAAATTTTATTAACATGGAGCATAAAAGTGAAAAATTGAAATCAACAATATACTAAAAAATAAGAAACAATATTATAACTTAGAAACATAATTACTCCCCTTAAATTCACTTCCTTCTCTTCTCCAAGATCCAGGTTTCCTAATAAATTAAATTTTCTTCGATCCCTAGCTAAAGTCATAATACTTATTTTAACATCAAAATTTTCAAGAGTAGTTATCTCAAAAAAAAAAGAATAAACCCAAATTCTTACCTCACTTGCTCTTCTTCTTTTGCAAAATCATAGGTCTTGATCTTCCTTGTTCTTTAATTTTATTTTTGTCAAATCAAATCACTGATTTTAATTCATACATTTTATTAACATAATAAAAATTAAAAATAAATGTATATAAACAAAAAAACACCTAACCCTTAACTTTTACCCTCATTCAAATTTGAAATTTCTTTCGCCCCTATTTTCCTGACATTAATTAACATTAATTCGTATTAATAGCTATTAAAATTTGATTACATGTTCTAAATTATTAAACAATCATCTAAAATAAAAAAATAAACCCTAATATCACCTTAAAGGCTTAGTTCGACCATCCTTCTCCCAGACATGACCAACTCGCTTCAATCTTTTTGCACACAAGGCCCTTCGTTCTTCCCATACAAAAACCTTCATTCTCTTCTTCCACTTCGTGTTAGGTCACTTGCATGCACATGATGATCCATGCAAGAATTAGGCTTCAGCACCTGAGCGCAGCTCTTCTCCCTTCTCTTCTTCCATTGCACATGCGGCGTCATCTTTCTTGCCCTAGAGACATGCGACGATCTCTCTTGGTTGTCTCCTGCGCTGACAAGCCCATAATGGCGCCTTCACTGCGAGCAGGCCGCCCCACCTCTCCTCCTTCGAGCATGTCCACGACTTCGTCTTCAGAGAGTGATTCTTCACTGCTCATCGCCCGAACTGCTCAATTATGGTTACGGTTGAGCCTCTCCCACAAGTAGTACGAGCACGTCGACATCCTCTCCTTCTCCTTCTCTCGATTTTCTTGATAAGTTTTTTATTCAAACACCTTCGAAATGTAACAATGGCATTCACAAAGAAATAAATCGAGCGTTACAATCCCTATTGTAATTGTACTCTGAGAAAAGCCCGAGAAAGCTACTCCAAAATACATTAAATTGTTATTCCAATTGTCTCTTATGTCTTTATAAGTTATTGTCTAATAATAAACTTATAATTCTCCATAATGGCAAAATGTTTCTCCATTTTGCTCCATTGTGGCTCTCAATGTATCCCTTTTGATACTTGGCATCTATATAAATATATATATATATCAAACCATATATATATATAAATGCTCACTATAATTTGATGATATTGAATCTAAAATCAATTGTAAATTATGCTAGAAGCTTACTAGCACTTACATGGAAAAAAGAAAAGACAATAGAAGAAAGCAATTTTATAATAAGAAGCTCTGGACTTTCACAATGAAAAAATTGAAGTATAAGAAATCGCATAACTCGACTCTTCCCAAGATCCCCTATGTATCAGTTCAGTTTGGTGTTTAAATGCTAAAGAAAAAAAAGTACAAATTAAGTTATATGAATAAGAATACATAAAAAATTCCATTGGTTATTTGCTGAAAAAGTACATGAGACGCGTAGACTGATTTCACTAAAATTGAGTACTCAAACTTATAGCCAACTTGCTATCATCTATCTTCCTTGGCGTGTGATACCTGAGCTTGGGCTCATATGCCCAAACTTGAACAAGCAAGCTTGAACTTCGACGAATACTCCTTTAGACTTCAACAAATTTTCCATTGCTTTAACTAGTAAGTCGAGCTCATATCAGTTTCTAACTTAAAGTAAAATCATGTCGATCTGGGCAAGTTTATGCTATTAAACCTTCAGAATATTCACATGCATGACTGAATATTTTTTGAATAATCTTATGAAATGATTATGTAGGTAGTTATGGCTTCAAGTTTGTAAGTCACATTGATAATACCTTTCAAGCTTCAATAAATATTGGATTGTCTTGAAGGTCCAACCCAGTTATGATTTGGACAATTGGAGAAAGGATATGATGATTACTAGTAGGAGAGAGAGAGATTTATGAAAACTATAGTTAAGGTTGATGAAACTAGAAGTCTTACTTTTGTGCAGAAAAAGGCTTATCGTGCTTGCTTTCCCTCTCTTTTTGAATTGATCCCTTTCTTCTTCCTTTTAGTTCTCCTCTCCTTCTCTCTTGGCTTATAAGTTAATTTAAAGCCTTCTAAAACTCTAAAATAGAGAGAGAGAGAGAGAGACAAATATTAGAAAGAAAAAGTGGGGTAGAGAGACAAGTTGAATGGCTAGACAAGAGACCTTTGATTTTGATAGAATCTATAGAAGAGAGGAAAATATAATGTGAAAATAATTGATTCCGAAAAACAACTACAAAAAAATATTGTTGCATGTCGAAAAATTTACAACGATAGAGTGATAATCTATTATCTTAGTATTGCACAAAAATCCAACACACACACAAATAATAAAAAAGTGGTGGGACGTCAAAATCTTTTATGTGAAAAAACCAGGAGAGGAAAAAAATCACGAGGTTTAGCCCAGTCAAAGTAATCTACTATAAGTTTGTAAGTACAGGGGTATATTTTTTTTTCTCACAATTGGGAGAACGAGGTTACTAATTTACACTGGATACAACACTTATTACTATACAACAACAACAACAACAACAACAAAGCCTTAATCCCACTACATGGGGTCGGCTACATGAATCCTTTTTCTCCATTGCGTCCTATTTAGTGTCATATTTTCATTTAGTTCTAGTAAATTAAGATCATTTTTAATACAATAAGCCCAAGTCTTCCTAGGTCTACCTCTGCCTTTCTTAACACAAGTCGAATTTAAAACATCTACTCTCCTAATCAGATCATCTGATGGTCGACGTTTAATATGACCAAATCATCTAAGACGACTTTCTCTAATTTTGTCTGTCACAGGAGCTACACCAACCCTATCACGAATATATTCATTCCGCATTTTGTCTCTAAGTGTAAAGCCACTCATCCACCTAATCATTCTCATCTCGGCAACACTTAACTTATTATTATGCTTCTCTTTTAAAGGCCAACACATATTACTATACAATGTTAAGAAAAATGCAAATATTAGGAATAAATGCCATATTCGAGCTAGGACAATCATAAGCAGTGGTCGTCGGTTGATGATGATCAGCAGTACAGAGACAAAAAGTTATTGATGGGTCATCAATAATCGTGTTATACATTACAGTCGTATTTAGGATACAATGTTTACAACTAGGGGTCGCCAGCACCCGCATGTCAACGGTGACGACAGAAGTTCGTCGACGGTGGCTGATAGGCAATGGTCAACAGTGATCAGTAGCTATAGAGGCTGAAAGTTATTATCGAGTCGCCAGTCCAAAATAGACACTAGAATTATGTTCTTCTCCCACTCAAAAGAATTTTTTTCTTTTCCTCAAATGAAGAGAGGGAGTTTATTTATAAACTATAGGAGAGATGCATTTTGGTCTTTTGACAAATAAGTTTTTCAAACCACCTAATCATGACCTATACTTATCTCCCTTGATCATAGGGATTTTTTAACAATTTGAGTGTCTTAATGACCACAAAATTAAGTGATCTTTGGCTTGTTGATTCCTCTCGTCAAGACACTCGATTTGACTAAAAATATGTCAAATTTGAAGTTTATTTGACCAATCAATTGACATTCCAAAATCTCCAAAGGTGCTTCAGTGTCTTGATCCGGGCTTGACTAGGCATTGATTGCCACAAATTTGGTATCATCGGGTGGGCACATTTTGTCGAAAGGGACAGTTTGACTATAAACTTTTTGAATCGGGGTCCTAAATGATCTTGAATTCAAGTTTGGAATGTTTATTGTTAAAGAATGCATCGAGATTCGTTGGATGATAAAAATTTATTGATATGTTTATAAAATTTGAGGAAATCTAGAAAAACACTTTGAATTTTAATATAAAACTAATCATATGTATGAATTTGTGGTGGGGGGGGAGAGGTTGGGGGCATCCCTTTAAATCATGCATGAAAAGTAGATACATCTAAATAATAAACTGCATTTTACACTTTTCCACCTTTTGATCCACCATGATAGCTTAATAATAAAAATATTAATACCATATTCGTAAGGAAAGCCATCCTTAGTATTTTGATACTAAAATATTATTATTTTAATTAAGGCAAATGCATGAGAAATAAAAGCGAAAGGGTGATTTTGGCCACTTTTGTTGCTCTTAAAGTTTTTGTGACCATACAATACCATGCAATTTCTATGCAACTTAATCTAGCCACATTTAAGTAGCCTTGGTCTAGCCAACTTGATCTACCTCCTCTATAGCTTAGTCTACCATTTGGATTTGCATTTTGTTTTAAGTTATCATTTGGCTATAACTAAACTGAACTAGGTTAGCCTTTCTTAGTCATCCTCCTTAGTCCAGCCATAGGTCTTGGCTAATTGATCAATTAATCCCACAGAAAGAAAAGCCTCATAAAACCACCCCATACATACTTTTGAACCCTATTTTAAAGTCGATCCAGATTTTAGATTTTTTTAACCTTATTTAGCCTCCATATTTCTAAATATCACCAGTAAAAATTTAGTATGAAAATATTAAAACTATGTATCTTTTTTCTTTAAAGAAACTTCCTCAACCAATTAAGCAATGAGTATTGTGTTTCAATTTTTAACCCTAATTACCCAATTAATGTTGCATAAATAAGACTCTTACCACAACCTAAATCTACAATTGTAGTCACATAGAATATAATACTTAAACATTTAATTTGAATTCTTCTCTTATGTGTTGTAATGCACCATCAAATTCAAAGTTCATTTTGTTTCTTTAGTTTTATCTTTACTTTTTTTCTTTTTCCTCTAAATTCAGTTTCCAACAGTCATGTTCCATATAAAATTAAAGCTTGCAATGGCACATTCAACCTCTGACTTCTCAAAAGTAGTTTAGGCATTATGTTGAGGAAGCTTCCATCTTCATTGTTTTTATGAACACTATATTTCACTTTTAAACTTTTCACTAAGCTGTTTCTCATTGGACTCCAATAACTTCAGTTTTCTGCGCAGTGCTTCAATAAGTTCTACAGCATCCATCTTTAGAAAAATTCTTCTAAAAAGGTTTTCAAGTTGATGGCTGATTACAAAATACTGCTCATTTCTTTACCTTAGCTGTTGCCATAATATTCACATCTCATCTTCGAGTATGATGGGAAAAATTGATCCTTCAACAATCCATTGAATCTCCTCGTGTCATTTCATGGTTCTTGGATTTTGAATTCCAGCAATACAATCGATGCGGGATAAGTTTGGACAGGCAAAGTAATCTTCTACGCATAGTTTACTTGCAGACACCTCAAATGCTACCCATAATTGTATAGCTTGTCAGCCTTTTGGAAAATTTTCCTCTTCACCCCCATCATCAACTGGCTAGTCATAAGTCTCTCATTTTCATTTCTTAAAGATATATTATTCTATTGCTAAAAAATGCATAGCTAGTAGTAACAAGAGTCATCTGGGCGATGCCACTTAATTGATGAGCATTTTCATTAAATCTTATATTCTATATAATTTAGACTTATCCTTCTTATTTATCCAGGGAGAGTTCTCCCATAATAAAATTTTAGGCCTCAAGGAAGGCTTGAGTTTTACTCCTTATTTTCACACTTTTTTTTATTTTTTTTATTTTTATATCTTACAATCTATGGGATTTAGATATATGTTGTAATGCAAAATATGATCATGAATTAAGATGGGTTTAATCACAAACTTCTTCTGGCCCAAGATGGAGAAAAAAAGTAATGTTTTGAAAATCCACAAAACGCAGGCATAGTCAGTTAAATAGAGAGTCGATTGAAAAAGGAGCAACTACTTGCTAGTTAAGTTTGACTGAATTTCTAGAATGCTTATTGGCCTAATCAAAAGTTCAAAACTATCATGCCCTAAGTTCGGTGGTCAAACTACATTGACATTGGTAGATCATTAAATCAAACATAAACAATGTTTATGAGGTTGCCAAATTTAAATATAGAATTAGTAAAAAATTATTCTTAAGTGTTTAGAAATATTATAATGTTTGATTGTGAAATAAAGAATATTTCACATTTAAAATGTAATATAATTATGAGGAGAACATTCACATGGTCAATTTGTCAGGTTGATTTATTAGGTTGATTCAACTGTTCAAATCAACCAACCTATAACCCAGTATCCAAAGATGTTCAATGGCTACTTGAGATTTCAAATCATAGTAAGATAATATAATGGTACTTTTTTTCGAATAATGGTGCAAACTAATTCCATTCATTTTATGAATTAATTCAAACCATAAATAAATAAGGACACAAAAGATCCACAAGCAAGAAAAGTCAAATCATTGACAAGATATCCAACCCTTATTCATGCACAGGTGCAGAGTCAGAAATTTTTTTTTCAGTGGGGCATATATTAATGATTTCAACCCTCAATTTTTTTTTCCTTTTTTTCCTTTCTTTTTAAGGAAAATATATAGTTTAAAGCCACTACAAATTATTTACAAAGCATTTAAATTTTTAATTAATATCAGCAATTCGACATCTTAAAAAGAAACTAATAAGTTGAAAATGTAATTAATCTTAAGGAAAAAACATCCTAACAATCAAAAGGTTGTCTATTTCATGAAATCTAAGATTTGTGAAAATTCCTTCCAAACATAAATCAAACAACAGAATGCACCACAATATATACGTATTGGTTATGCTTGCTTACCAATTATCACCTTATATCACCAAGTAAAAAAAAAACAATTTAAGTGTGCTTTATTCAAATAAGACGATACTCAAACAGACAATTGTGTGAAGCAACTGGCTTCCACACACGACATGATGGCTAAACCCAAGTTAAACTAATCATGCTAATAGTCTGAGCTCAAAACGCCCCCAGTGATTAGTGGAAGCTCTATCACCAATCCTTTTTGAACCAACAAAGCTTCCTATTTAAAACCCCGCTCCTCTCTCTCTCTCTTTCTCTCTCCCTATCCCTCTCCCTCTCCCTCTCTCTCACGCGCACAAATGGTAAACATTGGCAGCAAAAGCAAGGGAGAAAATGGGTGAATTGATGCTTATAGAAAAGGATGAACTTGGTCTAAGATTGGACCTCAACTCATCAGAAGTTTGATGCCTTCTTCAACTAGTTAAAGTTTTAGACTATGAATGGTGATAGCAGTGCGGAGGAAAGTGATTGCTTTGCCAGATGTGGATGAGAAGATGAAACCAACCCAGAGCACTAGTTGTAACCAATGCAGACACTTCCCCCATTCCCATCAACAAAGGTGAAAATTAATAAAGTCGGTGCATCTTGTTGCATGCTGACGGTGGACAAAGCTAAAAAGTAATGAGGCAAGTCCATCTTGTCCCAGATTGGTGGTGAACGACGAAGACGTTGTTTCGGGCCTTGCGACATTTCAGAATTGTGAGTTGCTTCCAAACATTGCAACTTCGAAATTGAGTGGGAGGGGAGGCCGAGTTTTTTTATTAAAGTTTGGGGGGGTTTAAGGGAAAAAATTTTAAACTTACTTAAATAGGTCAGGCCAGTGGGGGCATGGGTCCTTGGCCCACTGTAGTCCCGCCCCTGTTCATGTTGCATGAGCAAATTTCTCAACTTTTCAAGCTTCAATAAATATTAAAATTGTTCTTGAAGGTTCAACTAAGTCATGGTAATTGGAGAGAGGGCATGAGTACTACTTCAAGAGGAGTAAAAGAGATTATGGAAATGAGAATTTGATTGACAAAACTAAAAGTCTAACTTCAAATGTAATAGATGGCATGCCCATTTTGCTTCATTCTTCTTAAATTGCTCTCCTACCTTCTTCTTCTTTTAGTTCTCCTCCCATTCTCACATTAATTCAAAAGTAATTACTAGCCTCCCAAAATTCTCAAGTAGATAACAAAAGAAAAAAAAAAAGCAATTTTAAGAGAGCGAAAGTGCACTAGGTATATAAGTGGTGACGGTTAGCCAAGCAAACTTGGAATTGGACATAGCAAAGTTGGCCTACGTGTGTGTTTTTATGAGAGAGAGAGAGAGAGAGAGAGAGGGAGTAATGTGAAATAATTACTGCCCTTAAATTACCAAGAAAATTAATTATAAAATAATTTTATTTGTAGATTTCAAAGAAAAAGTGATTTTGGCCTCCATTGTGGATCTTTGAATAACATGTTGTGCCATCATCTAATCCAACAAGAAGACATGCAATTTTTGTAAAACATGCACTAGCCACATCCATGTATGCTAGATCTAACAAAATTGGTTTGCATCTTCTAAAGACTTGGCCTACCTATGTATATTTGCATGGTTCTCAAACTTTCATTTGGCTAATCTAACAAGAAAGAGGTTAGCATATTCTTGGCAAACCCTCCTCAGTCTACCCATGGGGCTTTTCAAACTAATTAAACAATCCTACTATTGTTAGTGCCTCCTAAGCCATGTATTTCTTCAATACCTATACTGGTTTGCTTGCACGGTCACAAAACTAAATGAGTATAAGAAAATGGAAGCGTTGAAAGGAAAATTGATGCAAAAGTTAAGGAATTTGTTTGCTTATTATCGTATGGCAAAGCATTTTAAGTTCAAACTAGAAAGGATATAGTGATCAGAAGATAAAAGATAAATATGCTAATAAACAAAACAATGAAGCTTGAGCTCCATAGAGAAAAAAAAACACAACCAGAGATCAAGCTAAAACTAAATCAGAGTCACTTGCTTAAAATAGAAGTAAACATGGAATACCTGATTGCAATAGAGATAAAAGGGTAAAGTTTTTCCTACCAGGTCCATTTGAAAGGAGAAATTTCCCACCTCCTTGGCTAAAGGTATACACATGATTGTGTTATTTTATAACTTCAGCCGATGGGGAAGGTAATTTCCGTATTTCGAAGTACAAGATAGTGAACTAGAAATTTTTGTATGGAGGTTTCGGACTTGTCACTATTCTCAAATTGATGCACAAAAAAGTTAGAACTTTGCTCCAGTTGCCAAATAACAATTTCTAGCGTTCAGCTCTACACTTCTCTTTCCAACTATTCCAGAAGTATCATAAATAAAAATCTATGTTTTGACCATGAAAATCAGGCTACCTATAACGCAAATCCAATCTTTGCTGCAACTAGCTTTAATCATCCTCTACAATCTCCACTCGAACCAGCTCCTAATCACAGGAGTAGTCTCAAACACAAAAATTATTGAAGATAACATGATGGTACAACCCAAAGCCGCATCAGCAGGTCTTGAAAATTTATACCCCCAGACTTAACAGACAAGCTTTGGATTTCCTAAAGCCTACTTTACCCCTCCAGTTTCAAAGTTCCAACTTACAAGTAAACCAAACTTCATGCAAACAAAAAGTTGAAATAATCAGGCTTCATCAAGCAAACCATCTCAAATCCCTCCAATATCTCAAAAGCGCCTCAACAGCAACCCAATTTAGCCAGTGAAATTGCGCAAAAATATGCATACAACTTTCTCATGCCTAGGGTTACAGTTATCAGCACTGCTCGTATCCTTGAAAATCAAAACCATACACTAGATTCAAAAGAGAAAACCCAGCTTACAAATCAAAGAATTTAAAGGTGCAATGAAAAAGAGAAAATTAGGTACTATTACCTGGCAGGAACTTCAAGATGCTTCCGAACGGTAAGAACACATACCCTTTATAATGTCGCCCGATTGCCTAAGAAACAACGACAGATCCAGAAGAAAATTTGAACCCACAATCGAAACAGCTAATTTCAAATTTTATGGCACCGAGGAGTTATATATTGCAAATAAAAGAGGAAAATGACGAACCAAAGTAAGAGCTTTTGGTCAAACTAGTGGACGCGCTTAAGGTTCACAACATGGTGCATATTCTTTGGCTGTAGGATATATTCCGTCCGGATACATCCAGATGTTCAATCACCTGGTGCCTCATTATCAAATTTCTCATATGCGGCTAGGGCTGTCAAAACTGCTCTGGAATAGCTCGTGTTCAACTCGTTAAAAAGCTTGTATTCGGCTCGTTAATTTTATTTGATAAGTTAACGAGCCGAACACGAATTAAGATGTGTTCGTTCGTGTTCGGCTTATTTTGGCTCGAACCCACAACTAATGGTTTTGAGATGATTTATCTCATCAAGTTTATATATATATATATATATATTAAAAAATATTTTAAGAAAATCTAATTGACTACAAGGCTACAACGATTTATAACCAATTAAAATATTGATTAAGAAAATAGAATAAAAACTATTAAATTAGATTCAAATGATGTTTTAATATAAATAATAATTTTTAAATCTTATTCAAATTCTTATTGTCTTATGGCTACATAATTAGGTTTGTTAATGGGCCTCTTTGTTCGTGAACAGCTCGTGTTCGGCTTGTTAAGCAAACAAGCCGAACACTAAGTTTACATTAAATAAATAAATAAATAAGATTCCATTTTGTGATGGTGCAACAAACATCAAATAATTTTTTTTTCTTATTAAAATCTACGTAATTTGAGTGTATGAAAATCCTAAATTTTTGTTTCATAATTATCTCTTAAATTTTAATTTAACTAATGAAAATTGCTCATAGCTCTTTTGATTTTGAGCGTTGATAAATTTATTATAGCTCGTCAAACTCGAGTATTTTTATTAATGTGGTCCCAAAATTTAATAATTTCATAAAATTTTATAAATCATCAAGCATGCATAAACTTTAGTACATTTACTTGATTTCAAAGCATAATATTTTAATGGAAGTTGAATTCATGGTCTCATAGAATTTCATCAAGTTATTTATGAGATTTTTAAGAAATGTTGATAATTTAATTGGTTCTATCACGCCCATAAAAATAATTTTACCTCAGGTGTAAATTTAAATGATTTTTCATTAATTTTCTAACATATGTAAGAAACTGTTTCAGTTAAAGTACTTTGAGATACATGAGTTTAATCAAGAAATAATCTCGAACAAATATTATTGTTAAATTCAAATAGAAAAATTACGACAAAAACATGAACGAAAATTTGAAATAGTAGTAAACAAAATACATTACACTAGAATGGGTAGATGGAGGGTGGATAGGTGGCGGCTAGATGGGTTGGAAGGAGGTAGCAGCAAGAGGGGATGTGGTGGCAGTGGCAAACATGGAAGCGAAGAATGTGGCAAAAAACAGCAGGAAGACAACAATTCCTTATTGTCCTGGGCGGCAACAAATAGAGAAGTGGAGCAGGTGGCGGGCAAGATCAAGAAAAACAACGATTCCTTACTTTTCTCGACGGCGGATGCAAGGAAAATGGAGTAGGTGGTGGTAGTGGTGGAACAGCAAGAAAACAACAATTCTTGGTTGTTCTAGGTGGTGGTGGCAAGGCTGGAGAGTTGGAACAGCATGAAATGGTTGTTTTAATAGGGTTCAGCAAGGGAGGAAAGCCGAGGGCAATGCGAGTAGGATGTGGAAGGATAGAGGAAGGATAATTATCACTTCGAGAGTGAGATGCAGCTGGAGCATCACTCGAATCCTTAGAAACAATCCTAAAATAGAAAATAGAGACGACGACGGTTGTCCCAAAATAAATAAATAAAAAATTAAATCTCTAGGCAACAAAAATTAAATAAATAACTATAAAATAAATAGAAAAAAATAAAAAAAAATAATTAAAAAAACACTCAGGATAACTAGGAGTGAGCCCCTCTATGGAAAAGAGTTGGCACCTCCCTTGAAAGAGGTTGTATCAAGGGGTATAAGTATCCTTATGTCGTCTGAACCTCAAAAAGCCCTAATTTCATAAAGCAAATAAATAAGATTTCCAAAGGTCCAGTGTGGCTCCCGCATACATCTGGGCATACTACCCACGATGCCTGCATCAGTCTCCTAGGATTAGGGGAGTTTCAATTTCATCCAAGCTTTTATCTCCTCGTAGTATGGCATTAGGTCAACCATATTGAGAGAAATGGAGCTACTATAAATTCTCAAAATTGGAAGGTCTTTGATTGCGTCTCTAGAAGTATCTAAATCTCATTGTTAAGTTCATTGTCCCCCAAACACCTGAGAAGGGTTCCTAACTTGCAAATAAATATCTCCACCTATCAATAGTATGTGGTCAGCTTGTTGAACAAAATTGAAACTTCAAGTTAATTATACTCTACAATGTCCTCCAAACATTGTCCGAGTTCATCCCATCCTTATCCGAAGTGAAGACAGGTTGAACCTCCCATAACGATGGCAGCCCTGACTGTAAGCTATCGATCAGGACATCCCAAAGCTCTCTCCATTATTGTTGTCCTATGTTTGATATCGGCTCTTCAGTCTCACTAACCTTTAATATCACCAGACTGATACCACTTATATTGTTCCATTAACAAGGCCACATATAAACTCAAACATTGTATAAGGTAGGAGAAAAATGGGATTTTCCTCTATTGTGAGTGAGTAAATGTTCTACAACCCATCATGTTGAGTCATGTTACCAAGCTTTCATAGTCTCCTCAATAGAACATGACAAACATACATGGGCAAAACATCACACAATATTTGATCTTACAACCAATTTCCAATATAAAACTCCATAAGGCATAGCCTATCAATGTTAACTTTATTCTACTTCTTCAACCAAATTAGGGAATATGATTAGGAATATCTATGAGCAGTGAGACTCAGCTTATCCACAATTTATGTAGATATTGCATTCTTACTATTGTCTCCATCAATGATATGGTTACGCATATATCACTTTATAGTGCAAGTAGCATACAATATGTTGTGGCGAAGTCACTGTTGCTCTCATACCCTTAGTCTATAGGAGCCGTCAAACCACAAGCATTTCTCCCTCATCAATTGAAATATGGTACTTCAGTATACCCTCACTATCCTCCTTGTATCTAGTACTATTGTCCACTTCTTCTATTGCTCCATGCACAGTGAAAGAGACAACTCTAATAGTAGCACAATTTAATGTCATGTACCCAAACTCAGGACATCTGAAACACTTCCATCTCAACCAACATCACAGACTCAAGAAACACACAACATCTTTGGTGTCTTATCTTGGGCTTAATCAATCCCAAGATGACTTGATTTAACCTCTTCCAAAATAGGCCATGGTCTTTGAGATGATATTCTGACTAAATAACCTAAGATATGTTACAATTTTTTTATAGATTTTTTTTAACCTATTCTACAGCATGTTACAATCATCTAGCGAAAGCTTTAACTAATAACCTAGATAAGTCAAATAATATTGGCAGATTTAAATTCTACTTTGTTGATAACAGGTTAACGTCATCAAGTACCTCTAGCTAAATAATCTAGGACAGATCAAACATTCTTAACAATCTTCATTCAACTTTGTTCATAACATGTTAACATCGTCGAGCACTCTAACAAAACAACCTAGGATGGGACTGATATTTTTGGTGGATTTTAATTTGACTTTATCCATAACATGTTAGTTTTGTTAAAAACCTTTGGAAAAATAACTTATAACATGTTTAACTTTCTTAATGGATTACAGTTTGCTGCTTCCTGTACAAGCTACGATCGTCGAGCGGATGCTCTAACTAAACAACTTAGGAAAGGTCAAACATTCTTAGTGGAAGACACAATCTTTGCTTATAATCCTGAAAGATATGCTCATGATGTAGTATCAATGAGTACCTAGTAGTGAACACGATTCTTATTAAAAAGACCTCTTGAGGGTAAGTGATAGATAGTTTCCACTTATACCACTAGAAGACATGTCCATGATGAAGTATCGATGGGAAATTAATAGTGAACATATTATTAATTAGAAAGATCTATTAAGGGTAAGTTACATACAAATTCTCTACTCATATCCCAAAAAGATACACCGTTGATTTAACTTCAATGAAAATATAGTACTGGACAGGGTCCTTGCTAAAAATACTCCATGAGAGCAAGTGGTTGACAGGGTCTCCACTAAAAAAAAATCTCAGATGCTATAAGCCTTAGAAGATACAGGTAAACTTAAAATTCTTAGAGGACTATGAGCCTCAGAATGTACAAGTATACTACAAAATTTTTGAAGTCTATAACCTACATAAGGTATATATAAACTCAAAAATCTAAGAAGACTGTGAGCCTAAAAAGGAATATATAGACTCAGAAATCTTAGAGGGCTATGAGCCTCAGAATGTATAGGTACACTTAAATAACCTCAAAGGGTTGTAAGCCTTAAGAATGTTTTACTTACTCAAGAAACTAAATAATCTCAAAAGACATAGGTCTCAAAATCATTGAAGTCATCATACTCTTTTTTGGGGCAATATTTAATTAGAATGTATAGAATTCTTGCAAAAAATTGAATGGTTTTATCTTCTATAAGGAACAAAATATAAGTATTCAACATTCCAACAATAGCAACCCAGAAGGTGGGGCAATAATAACCCAAGAAATTTGGTAAAAACAACCTAAAAGTTAGGTGAGAATAGCCCAAGAAGGGGCGACACTAGCTCAAAAGATTAGACAAAAATAACCTAGAAAATGAGGCAAAACTGGCCCAGAAGATGGGAGAACAACCACCCAAAAAGGGAGGGAACAACAGCGTAAATGGAGCTTCAATTTTGTTAGTCAACAACAGCCTAGAAGGGGAGGCAACAACAACCTAAGAGGAACTTCAACATCGTTGGGCAACTGTATCTCCGAAGGGAAGGAAACAACAACGTAAAAAGAACTCCAATTTCACGAGATAACAACATCTTGAAAGGGACTCTGACCTCTAAAGGCGAGGTGAGTTTTTTTCCCCTGCCAGTGGCCATATTTATGGGTTCAAATTTAAAACTTTGGGC